TTTTTTTTTTTTTTTTTTTTTTTTTTTTTTTTTTTTTTTATAATGAACTTTTGTCGATTTTTATGATTATAGGAATTTAAATTGATCGATTCAAGTTAAGCAAACGTAATTTATTTTTGTATTTTATTTTTAGAACAAATTTTGAACGTATCGTGATTGTGTGAATGTATGTAATGAATAAATAATCTACTTATCCGTAATAATATAACTCTATTAAGAATAAGATAAGAATAATTTTCTTTTTATCGATTGATTACGATTTATTTTATACATCTTAAAATTTTTAATATTTTTAATCCTAATTTATAAGAAAAGATTTTCATTTCCAAGAAAAATCTTGAGAAAAGATTCGAATTCGGATATTCGGATAATTCAAATTCGAACTCAAATACTCGAATAATTATTCTCTGGAATCGAAATTTAAATTGTAACGAGGATTCGAATACCAAAGATACTAAAAGCTCTGTCTATCTCTCAATTATACGAGAAACTTATGCATTTCCCCGTAAAACATTACAATGCAGAGATACCGAGATATCCGTGCTCATGTCTGTCGTTGTATCTGATTAGAATTGGGCCCCGAATATAATTATGCTCTCTAATTCTTGGAAAAGAAGGGGGAAGGGGTTGGTCGATGCATAAATTGAATAGCGACACAGTTATAAACGCTTGGGGTCCGGTTGAAGTTAGTTTCGTACTGTGAATATATTACGACGGGAATCGCATTGCCGGCCACGCTTTCGTGTTTCACATCTCCAAACAGGTTTAATATCATATCCACCGGAACACTCTTGCGGCACATAATTCAGGGAAGCAAAGTTTCTCGAAGCTGACGTTGCACGCGTTCCATGCACCGCGATGCATGTGTACACGTTCTTAGAGGTGTAACACGTTCACGTTGTTCATTAGCCGCCTCGATGTACGACTGGTTAATTAAATTCGAAACGGATATTTCGCCTTTATGATAGTTAATCCGTGCGACGAGTGGAGAATCGATAGATTTAACGAGCTAAATGGAAATAGGAGTGTAAATGTGTAATGTTTAACGTCTCGTCAAATTGATTAATTAATTGATCGTTATTTTCAATAAATTTAGTCTTTCCACTTTACGTACGATGCACTTTTTACCGTATATTAAAACCACAATATATACAAGATACGCGTGGACGAATGGGTTAAGTTAGTTTCACGAGAGCGAGAAGAAGAGCGATTGAAAGTGTCGCAATGACGAGAATTTACTGATTTGAATTCGAAGTCTTTGAAGCACTTCGTTTCAGTTAAGTGGCATAGCCGATAGAATCCGAAAAGTGCCGAGGCGGGGGATCGGTATTGCCGATTGTATCCGAGAATAGCCGAAGGATAGTTGTCGAGTCTTCGTGACTCGAACATTGCCGATTAAATACGAAATTTGCCGAAGATAATCATTACAGATAACCAAAATTTAATTTCTCTATATATAATTTCTGAAAGATAATACACAATAAGTGAATTAAAATTAATATCTAACAATGAAATATTTAAGAATTTGAGACATTTTTTAAAATGTCTTGAAATTTAATTTAAAAAAAGTGTGCAATAAAATGCGGAAATTGAACAAGAAATATCCAATAACGAGCACAATGCATAGCCCATGAAAAGAATAATCCTTTCTCGAAATATTTCTTCCTCGCTGGTATCAACCAGACGTGGATATTCCGAGTAGTCGAGTGAAACGGAATACTCTGCATACTGTAAATCATTTCCATTCAAATTTCTATTCAATTTGTATCCAAATGTAAAAATATTCGAAAACGTGATCGGAACATGCATGTTCTCGAAACAAATTCAGTATTGCGGCCAAAATATCTTTTATCTTTCGTATTCTTTCCTCATTTTTTTTTTTATTATTATTATATTTTATCGTCTTTTTGAATATTCGAATCGAATATTTCGTCGATATTTCGTCGTAATGCAGTTGGACGTTGATTATTCGACGTAATTAATTATAGGAATAATCGAATAATCGAAATTTTCGAATATTCGAACGATTGAAGTTATAATTATGTTTCGCACGGAATGAAATAATTTATTACACTTTATCGCATACATATGTTTCAATTTGCTTCCTTGCATTAACAAATAACGTTGGATAGTGAACGTGGTCCCCGTATTGTATTTAAAACGTTCAAAGTAAATTAAAACTTTCATGTAATTGAACTTCGACAAACTTTCGTAAATTGAATTTAAATATTGATTAAAGAAATTTAACGAGAAAACTTCATAAATTTTATCTTTACGACAAATTATATTCCGACTTGTTTGAATATAAAATCTTGAATAATTTTATTTAAAAAAAAAAAAGAAAAAAAAATTAAACCAATTATATTATTCCACATAAATTATCCATGTCACCCTCTTTTCTGAAATTTATTCTAAAATTCTTTTTTTTCCAATTCAAAAGTTTCTTCTATTCGTTCTATTTTAATAAGTTAAAATATTATCTCGACCGAACCAATTAGCAATGAAACGAGGGTGGATAAAATTCGTGGATCAGCTACAAATCGATACGGTGCAATAATGAAACGGTGTTAGCATTGTCGCGTGTCGAGAGACAAATACTCGCGTCGCGGTTGGAATTTTGATAAATGATCCCGCTATTGCGACAAGCAATTAGCAATCGGCAAACACAGATGCACTTTCGAACGGATTGACCGCTCAGTTTCGATCTGTATCGGTCACCGGGGACAAAAGACTCGGGGAGTTATTTTCGAATTCGTTGAATCCGCGATATCGTTTATCGCGATGTGATAAATTCCGTGATCTCGTGATTCGGATGCGCCAATCTTTTACAAATAAGCCTTATCTTTCGATATA